CAATCCATCCATCCATCCATCCATCCACCCACCCACCCATCCATCCATCCATCCATCCTTCCATCCATCTTATGGCCTCCCCAACCACCTATCTGTGCATTGATTCATACATCCACTCATTCATCCATCCAACCGCCTGTCCACCCACCTATCTCCCTATCCACTGAGCCATCAATCTACCCATTTATTGTTCACCTAACTACCCGTGTGGCCATCATTCCATCCTCCATCCATGCATCCATGAATGCATGTATGCATGCATCCATCTGTTGATGTAACTATCTGTTTGTCTGTTGGTCCTTACATCCACTCATTTATCCATCCTTCTAGCTGTTTGTCAGTCTCCCTACTGGACCATCAATCCACCCATTTGTTGATCTGCCCAATCTCCTCTCTGTGTCCATTGTTTTATCCATCCATCCATCCATCCATCCACCCACTCATCCATCCATCCATCCATCCATCCATCCATCCATCCTACACCTGCAGACAAGCCAGTGCTAGTAAGCAGAGTGAAGGAGTGGGAATAATAGACACCAGCAAGGTGGTCCCTGCCCTTTGGGATTATCTGCTAGTAGGAAGACGTGATGGGTGACTGTCTCTGGCCCAATGCCTTCTGGACACGATGTCCAGTAGCATGGGAAGATTGGAGTGCAGGAGGACATCAGGCAGGGAAAGCTTCCTACAAGACGTGGGCTTTGAACTTGGCCTTGCAGAGAGGTAAAATTTAAATCAGCAGGAGGAAAGGAGAGCAGGCCAAGACCAGATGGGGGGGCGCAGAAAGTTCTTCACTGTGAAGACAGTGAGGAGCAGGTGGGCGGCTGGGTAGGGCCAGGATCTGGAGGAAGGCCGGGCTAGGAGGGGAGCCTTAGACTGATGGGAGAGGCATAGCCCTGTTCCTGGGAGCCTACTGAAAGTGGAGACACAGCCTTACTCTCGACAGACCAGTCTGTGGAGGGGTGAAGGGACATGGCCTGCCTTTTTAAGAGACCCTACAGGAGCCTTGTGCTCAAGGGATCCCTCCCCAGTCTCCTCCTGGCCCCTCCCAGGCTCTTCCTTCCCTGGGCCTTGTTTCGGAGGCTCCCTGGGGCTCAGGGACCCACCCTCCATGCCCTGCCCCCACCCCCTCTCCCCCAGTGGTGCCTTGTGGGACGTTCACCTTCCAGTGTGAGGACCACAGCTGCGTGAAGAAGCCCAACCCGCGGTGTGATGGGCTTCCCGACTGCAGGGATGGCTCCGACGAGTGGCACTGTGGTGAGCCAACGGGGCGGGGGGGCGGGCAGAGGACCCTCTCCACCTGCAGGGCCCTGAGCGTGGGAGGGAGGGAGGGGCCGCCCCGGGAAGCTGCGGGAGAGCTCACTTCGTCTCTTTCTGTCCCGCCTCTGCACCCACTCCGGGCCCTGCCTCTCCTTCATTCTCTTTCCCATCCTCCTCCATCTTTCCTCTGGCCTTCCTCTCTGCCTCCCCTTCTCCGTCTCTCTCTGTGTCCACTCCTCCCTGGCTTCTGGCCATCCCTGTCCCTCCCCGTGCCCCCAGACTGTGGCCTCCAGGGCCCCTCCGGCCGCATAGTGGGCGGGGCCGTGTCTTCAGAGGGTGAGTGGCCCTGGCAGGCCAGCCTCCAGGTTCGGGGCCGACACATCTGTGGGGGGGCGCTCATCGCTGACCGCTGGGTGATAACAGCCGCCCACTGCTTCCAGGAGGACAGGTGAGCAGGGGCCGTGCGACCCGAGACCACAAGAGATGGGAGAGGGGAGGGGAGGCCTGGCAGGCAGGCAGGGACAGTGGGTCTGAGATCCAAGCAGGAGGGAAGGGTGGTGGGAAGCCCATCAGACTTGCCGTTTGAACGCTTGGGTTCGGTCCTGGCTCCACCATGAACATAGTCCATGCCCCTGGAGAGGTTGCTCAACCTCCTACTGCCCTGCTTTTGGAATCTTGCTTTAAGTTGGGTTAGCGATTCATTCACTCATTCATTCCTGTATTCACTCATCCATTCAGCAATATGTATCGTGCTCCTACTAGGGAGCTGTGCCAGACCCTAGGGATACAGCAGAGAACAGAACTGCCCCACTTGGCCATAGGCCATGCCCCCCGCCCCCGCCAGGGGCCTGTGACCTGGTGAGTGGGGCCCAAGAAGCCTCCAAGAAGAGACATCCCACCCAGCCCCCCAAACATCTCCATCTGCATGGTGGGCTGGCAGCACCCCATCTCCTGGGCCCCGCCAGTCCTGGACTCCCCTCCGACACCTCCTTTTCTGTCCCGGGTCCACATTGTCCCCAGCCAAAGACCAGGAGCCACCACGGCACCCCACCCCCACCCCCTTTACATCCAGAGCCAGACAGCAAGTGCTCTCGGTGCGCTGGACCACTCCTCAGCCGCTGTCTGTCCACACCCCCCTAGCACCTCGGGCCAGCCCAGAGCCCGGCTCTGCTTGGCATCCCCTCCCCAGGGGCCTGGGTGCTCTTTCTGGGTGCGGTCTGACCACCTCACTCTCTCACTGCTTCCCTGGCTCCCCGCGGCCCCTTGAGGTAAAGAAAGCCCCGGGCGCTGACCCGGCCTGCAGGGGTCTTCACCACCCTGTCTCGGCTGATTGCCGCCTACTCAAGACCCACCCCCCCTCCCCCCGCCCCAGGGCGGACCAGCAGGTCTCCGCAAGCTCACAGCAGCCCCATCTGTAAGGTGCACAGACAAAAAGGAGGGAACCGTGTGTCACTGCCTGGCACTGTGCTGATTTTTCACACGTACAGTCTTCCTGAGTTCCCCCCAGTAACCTAGGAGTAGAAGATGAGCAGACTGAGGCATAGAGAAGCACACACGTATCGAGGGAGGGATGAAGCTGGGACTGGAACCCAGGCAGGCGGACTCGGACGCCAGCACGGCTGGCTGTACCACGGCCCAGCAGTTGACTTTCTGGAGCAGGGAAGGGACGGGTGTGACCGCCGCCGGGGTCACTGGTGGGGAAGCCGGCTAGCCTAAGGGTCTGGGATGAGAGAGGCGGCGGCTGAGTGCCCCTCCCCGCCCCCGCCACCTCCAGCATGGCCTCCCCCGCGCTGTGGACGGTGTTCCTGGGCAAGGTGTGGCAGAGCTCCCGCTGGCCCGGCGAGGTGTCCTTCAAGGTGAGCCGCCTGCTCCTGCACCCTTACCACGAGGAGGACAGCCATGACTACGACGTGGCCCTGCTGCAGCTCGACCACCCGGTGGTGCGCTCGGCCGCCGTGCACCCCGTCTGCCTGCCCGCGCGCTCCCACTTCTTCGAGCCGGGCCTGCACTGCTGGATCACGGGCTGGGGTGCCCTGCGCGAGGGCGGTGAGCCGGCTGGGCTGCCGGAGGGCAGATCAGGGGAGGTGGGGTGTGGTCCGCCTCCTGAGGCTTCCAAACCTGGAGGGGGCCGGCCAAGGGGCCTCAGGGCTCCACCCCAGGGGCCCTCCGGTGCTGGGCTCAACCCCGGTTGGATGTCGCAGAAGAAAACAAGCTTTTACTGTAGCGAGCGGCTCCTGCCTTCCGGGCCCTTCCCTCCTTCCGGAACGTGCAGTTTAAAGGGAACCGAGGGCGTGGGAGGTTACCTTGGGGGATATGTGTGAAGTGATGGGGCATATTAGGAACCCAGCAGCCCACAGGCAAGCTCCAACCTCTGCTCCTTGGGCACAGATGACTTTCTACGCGGAGGATGGATTTTAGGGAACGTGGTCTCATTTAATCCACCCAATACCCCTAAGGCTGGGGATTATGGTCCCATTTTAGCAGTTCTTCCAAGTCGCCCAGCCAGAGAGGGTTGGAACAGGGACTGGCACTGAGCACTGCCTGACCCCAGAGCCCTGCTGTTCCTGCTACTGCCCCTGAAGCAAGGGGCCTCTCCCCTTCCCGCCTAAACTGACCGTCCCTCGGGGCCACGTCCGTTCTGTGAATACCGGCAGGCCTAGGCTGGCATAACCACAGGCATGCCCTGCACCCTTAAAGAGGGTGGCTTTAAAGATGGGGACAGTGATTTACAATCTGGAGGCGGGCAGGACTGTAGAGATACTTTAAAGATGGGGAAACTGAGGCTCAGATGAGAAGTGACTTGTTCAAGGGGATGATGGAGGAGAGCAGTAAAGCAAGGATTGGTTCATTTGCTCACTCATTCAAGGACACATTTATGAGCACCTACTGTATGCCAGGACTTGAGTTGGGCAAAGATGGGCTAGAAGGATGAAAAGAGAACATTCTTGGGGGAGACGGTGCTTAGAGCTGACATGGGTGGGGAGGTGCAGCCCAGAGGAGGGGCCTAGCCAGGTGGAGTCAGGGAGGCTTCCGGACAAGGGGCTGGCTAAGCCAAGGCTGGGAGGACGAGTCGCCGGTGTCCAAGTGGGGGAGAGAGGTGTTCCCGTTAAGGGCACAGGGGGCAACCCAGGGACTCTCGAGAACACCCTGCACCAGAGGGGAGCTGGGGGCAGGCAGATGTGGGCGAGGACTGGTGGGAAGGGCAGGACGGCCTCATTGGCCGTTGTACGGAGCTTGAGCCAGGAGTTTGCCTGACCTGCACTTTAAAAACCAACTGAGGGCTTCCAGAAAAACACCAGCATTGAGTCCTACCCTAGCCAAACAGGCCAGATCTCGGGGTGGGACCAGGCACAGTGCAGAATGAAGCTCCCTGGGGGCCCTCCCTGGGGGGCCCTGGCAAAGCACTGGGCTGGACAGTGGGGAGACACTGATGAATTTTAGGCCGAGAGTGTAGGGTCAGATGGGTGTTCTGGAAAAATCTCCCAGGGGCTGTCACAGAACAGGGGGGCACCGGCCAAGAGGCCTCAAGCAGGAGGGGCGGCAGGGAGGACACTAGTCCAGGTAGGCTTTGGGTGGGGACTCTGTCCCCGTGGGCCACGAGGGGGCCAGAAGAGAGTGACGGTGAGGTGAGGCGGAGGGGTAGGGGGCGGGCAGAGCAGGAGAGATGAGGGCGGGCTCCTGAGCCGCAAGGGGAAAAGTGGAAGGAAGAGCCGCTCTCATCTCTGCCTTGCCTTCCACCCCCGACCCCGCTGGGCAGGCCCCACCAGCAACGGTCTGCAGAAGGTGGACGTGCAGCTGATCCCGCAGGACCTGTGCAGCGAGGCCTATCGCTACCAGGTGACACCCCGCATGCTGTGCGCTGGCTACCGAAAGGGCAAGAAGGATGCCTGTCAGGTGACACCTTGGGGGTGGGTGGCCGAGAGGAGGGCGGGCGGCGCTCACATCGTGCAAGGCCTGGCCCTCTGCTCACACCAGCCTGCTGAAGCCCCACGGCCTCCCAGCAAGGCCGGGATGGCTGTCCCAACTTTACCGATAAGGAAACTGAGGTTCGGGGAGGTGGAGGGACGTGCGCCCAGTTGCAGGCCCCAGGTCACGGGCAGGTCTAAGGCTCAAACCCAGTTCTGCCCCCTGCCCCTGAGCAAGGCGCTTTGCCCAAGGGGACACAGGAGCTAGGAATGGAAGGAGCCCACAAAAGGGAGGCAGAGAGGAGTGGGGACACACGTGTACTCTTCCACGACAGCCAGGACCCGCGGAAGGACCAGCAGGGCTGCTCTGGGCTCTCTCCACTGATCAGGAGCAGGGGAGGCAGAAGGCTTCCCAAGAGCCTCTTGTCACCTGGGAGACTCCCAGCAGTCAGGACCCCCAGCTTACCCTGATGCAGACCTGTCTCTCCTCTCCCCGTTTCAGGGCGACTCGGGAGGTCCACTGGTGTGCAAGGAGCCCAGTGGCCGCTGGTTCCTGGCGGGGCTGGTCAGCTGGGGCCTGGGCTGTGGCCGGCCCAACTACTTTGGTGTCTACACCCGCATCACAGGGGTGATTGGCTGGATCCAGCAGGTGCTGACCTGAGGAGCTTCCCTCCCTGCAGAGCTGGGGCCCACCTCCTGGACTCAGAGAGTCCGGGGCACCCACTGGGCAGGGGAGCAAGTATTCTGGGGGCAGCAGGGGGGCCTTGTGGAGGCAGGAGGTAGCATCCCGTCGTCCCCCAACCTGCTCCCTGACATCTGCCCCAGGGAGGGCAACAGGAGAAGACCCATCAGCTGGTGGTGGACTCCCCCTGCACCCCAGAGCCTGGATGGTCAGCAGGCCCAGCTGGAGGGGTTCACATCCAGCCCTGTTCTCTCTCCTCCTTCTCCTTCTGCTGCTGCTGACTTGGGGGGGGAAGGGCGGGGAATGGTTCAGCAGTGATAATGGGGCTTCCGGGTCCCAAGAGGGGTGTCTGAGCTCCCCTCCGCCAATGCAGAGAGCAGATTCAGCCTGTGAACTTGAGGGGTGGGGATGGGAGGCACCCCCAAGGAGGGGCCCCCACAGCCCTGGAGACAGCCAAGTGGGCCAACTGCCACCGTAAGCCAAAGGGTGGGGGGAGCCCTGGGTCTAGGGTCCTCACCCCACCCCTACCTGTCCCCTGGGCCTCCACTGCCCACTCACACCTGTTAGTGAGCTCCATTGCCCTGAGGAATAAAGCCGTTCGATCTGAGGCCCTGCTGTGGGGTTTGAATGGGGCCCGGGGCATCAACCCCACAGTCTTGACTGAGCAGACTCTGCTTCCTGCTCAGCCTGTTGGTCAAATGTCTAGAAGGCCAAGGTGGGGTCAGTGGGGGCAGGGGTGACCTCCAGGGTGGTTGCTCAGGTCCCAGGAGCAACCCCAAGATGGAGGTGATTTGGTGACCCCCTTGGATCAGAAGGATGGGTTGAGTGATAGGCTCCGTCTGCAAGCTTGGGAGGAAACTGAGGCAGAGGGGCGGAGCCATCCTCAGGATCACACCAGCGGGTTCATAGTGACGTCTGGTGTGGAAGCCCCGCCTCCTGGTTCCCAGTCCACCCCTTCTCAGCGAGACGCTCCCTTTGCTTTCTTGGGATCCTTCATTCAGCAAGCCATCAGTCTCCCGCTACGTGCCAACCACTGCGCTGGGGCCACAGAGATGCACAGAACTCAGCTCCTGATCTCAGGAGGGGTGGGGATGACAATCCAGTGTGAAGGGGCTTTGGGGTAGTCCGGAACTCGGGAAGTCAGGGAAGGCTGCCTGGAAGAGGTGAAGACTTGAGTTGCGGCTCAAAGGTGGCCAAGGTGGGGCAGGGCATTCCAGAGAGGGGAACAGCATGTGCAAAGGCATAAGTCCCAAAAGAACAGGGCATATTGGTGAGCTGTTCTGAGCTACACAGAGGTTGAGAGAGGAGCAAACCGAGATCAGATGACAAAGAATTTGGAATTAAGGGAGGACTTGATGCTGGGTGCGCTGGGGAGCCACGGAAGAAGGCTCTAGAGCAGGGGAGAGACACATGAGTGGATTCACATCTTAGAAGGATCAGGGGCCCCGGTGTGGAGGCACATGTGCAGAGGGAGCGGGAAGCAGGGAGGCCGTGAGGAGGCCGCTGGTGAACTCCAGGAGGGAGAGGAAGGGGATCTAATGAGCCAGGCAGCGGAGATGGACTTGAAGGACCCTCAGTGTCCTCCAGGTGCCCTAGCGGCTGGGGCTTGGGTGAGGGAGGAGTCACCCACGACCACTCCCAGGGGTCTGTCCTGATCCACCGGGCCAGTGGAGGACCTGTTGCCTGGCCTGGGGCACCTGGGGAGGGAAAGGCTCTGAGGAGGTGTTAGAGCTCGGATGCCTCTGGGAGGGAGGTGTGCAGGAAGTAGGTGGGGCTTGAGGTCTGGAGGAGGGATTCCAGAGCCCCTTTGCAGAAGGTGAGTGGGAAGACGGAAGAGGCAGGGAGACAGACACTACAGATGGGGGCCCACAAGGGAGACTGAGGGGTGTGGGCAGAGCTGGAGGGGAAGCTGGGGGGTGGAACCTTAGCAAGCAAGTGGGAGCGGTCAGGGAGGGCCCCTGGTGCCCTCTGGGTGCAGCGGGGGAGGTAAGGAAGTGGGGAGTCGAGTAGTGCAGGCAAGTCTTCCTTGAAGCCTAGCTGGGAGAAGGAAGGGGAGCCTCAGGATTTGGGGGGGGGGGTTTCAAAGGCAGGGCTCTGGCATGCACATCCAGTCCAAGGGCCTCGTGCGTGAGATGGCTTGCCTGCTGGGCCCGCCTGTGGGGGGAGATGGAGGAGATGGAGCAGACCAAGCAGACACTGCCGGGAGGAGGGGGGGACGGCTCTGGGTGGGGGCAGGATGTTACAGTATTCCACCCCATAGCCTCGCTGACTTCTCACAGAGGCCGGCAGATGCAGTGCTGGGCACGGGGCGCTTCGCTAAAATGCAAATTTGCGGGCCCCACCCCAGTCTTAGTCAGAATTGGGGGGGTGGGTAGGGGTGGACAATCTGTTCTTTTAACAAGCCTCACGGTGACTTTTTACAAAGTTGGACACAGAATGTGAGTCCAGCGAGCCAAATGTCTCAAGGGGAGTGACGAGGGCCTCCCAGGCTTGAGTGGAGCAGGGGAGCCTCACCTGGCCCAGGGGAGGAGCTCTGCCTAAGGGACCCCTGCTTTGCCAGGGTGTCCCTAGCAGCGCTAAGATGCGGGGGCAGGGGAGTATGGTAGGCACTTAGCAGGACAAGTTAGGTAACGGGACTGGCCAGGCAGGGTGGGGTGGGAGGCCCTGCTGAAGCCCAGGGTCCAGCAGACTTGGAGAGAAGGTGGAGCGGGAGCCTGGGTGTTTCTATTTCCTGGGACTTGGGGCAGAAGGGCGGCAGCGATAGGGAGGGGTGGAGGGGACCATGAAAAGTCACAGGAAGCAGAAGGGGTGGCCTGGGGCGGGGTTAGGATGCAGCAGAGGCCGGAGCAAAGGGCCATGGGAATGGTGGGGTGAGGCTGGGAAGTTGGGGGCCCTGCTGTCCAGATTCCGGGAGCCCCCTACCCCCTAGGCATCCCACAGCTAGCCTAGGGCTGCCCAGATGCAGGAAGAGACCTGCATGGCTCCAGGGGCCGGGCCTGGGAAGTCGCCTGGTCCAACCCTTCACTTCACAGATGAGTTAACTGAGGCCCAGAGAGGAGGGCAGCCACCTGCCAAAGTTCTCCCAGCAAGGCAGAGTTAGTGCCCTTAGTGCTGGGCCGCGGGGCAGAGGATGGAGCCAGGACCTCCTTCCCCCAATACATGGGAGAGTGACCGCAGGGCAGGGTCCCCGGGCTTTTGGAAAAAGCCCCACTACCCATGAGTCATTGACCCCACCTTGAGTTCAGCCCCGTCCCTGAAAGTGGCTCAGAGGAAGAGAGGAAGGCAGCCCAGCGGCTGTTTCTTCAGGCTTTATTACATGGCGGGGTTGGACACAGCCCAGGGGATCCTAAATGCAGGAGGGGGCTCCTGCTCAGCCCCTGCTACCCCCAGACTCGCCCCTGGGCAAAGGGAGGAGTGTCCCCCTTGCCCTTATCACTAGTTCCTGAATGGCCCCCTGCCCCTGCTGAGCCCCCGCCTGCCCCCTCCTGGCCCCTCCTGGCCAGGGCCCTCTGTAGCCGGCAGTGCGGACGGGTGGAAGCAGCCAAGGTGAAGGCTGGGTCACCCTCCCTCTTCTCCCCACAAGGCCAACCCCCACACCCTTCGCCCCACCAATACCTGAATCTCCATCTGGGGCTGAGCAGGTCCTCCCCCTCTGAGGGAAGGGTGAAGGGAGGGCCACCCTCCAGTCTGGTGCTTTGTACACTGCCCCAGGACTTTCTGAGACCTTGCTCCTCTTTGTAACCTCACAACAACCCTGTGAGGTAGGTGCTGGCGGCGGGGAGAGCGAGCCCATTTGACAGACGAGGAGACTAAGGCTCAGGGAGGAGATGTGACTGGGTCAGGGGGGAGGGTATCGTTCATGCAGCTAGGGGACCCGGGGGAGGGACCACGGGGGCGTGGGAAACACAGCTGGACAGCGCCACACTTGGGCCACACGCAGGCGGCTCTGCCCAGGGGTCCCAGGGCCCACCTCAGGCCTTGAGAGGTCCCCAGAGGTGGGGGGAATTCAGAGCCCCACAGGTGTAGACAGAAGTGGCAGGGGGGAGGGTGTTTCCTCTGCCTGGAGCCGGGGGCCCACCCCGAGGTACAAAAATAAAGGATTTCAGTTCGGAACCCCAAGTCCCTGGAGGTGATCTGGGGCCTCACATCCGGGTGCCTCTGGCTTGTAACAGCTAGAAAATAAGAGGGGGAAGGGGGAGGGGGACGGGTGGGAGGGTGGTCAGAACACCAGGAGGGGGAAGAGAGGGTGGGGCCAGTGAGGAGGGGTGGGGCCAGTGAGGAGGGGTGGGGCCAGTGAGAAGGGGTGGGGCCAGTGAGGAGGGTTGAGGCGAGGCCAGGGGAGGGCAGAGAGGAGATTGAAATGGAGGGAGGGGCAGGGAAGAGAGGGAGAGAGAAAGAGGTAGGTGAGTCACAGGCTCCCTTCTGAGAAGAGGGTGGGGGGCTGAGGCCCAGAGAAGGTGAATTCAGAGCCGAGGAGGGGGAGCAGGAAGGGGACCCGGCTCGCGCATCCGGGAACCCCATGCCCCACCCTGGGTTGGGTGGTGGCTGCCTCGGAGGCCAGAGTCACCACGACTCTGGCCGGGGGGTGGGGTGGGGTGGGGCGTGGGGGGGTGGGGTGGGGGTCTGTCAAGGCCAGGTCCCTGCTGTCTCAGGCAAAAGGTCACAGACAGCAGCTGTCTGTCCCCATTTCAGGGGCAACTATGGCCTAGATAGGGACAGTGACTTGCCCAAGGTCACACGGCAGGCAGACAAGATTGAGTAGGGGCTTGGGGGCACCTGGCCAGGACTTTTTTCTGTAATACCCCGGTCCTTAGCCAGCTCTGGCTGATTCCTTGGTAGGCCAAGGGAATCCAAGGCTGGCGGTCCTTCCCCCACCCCCACCCCCACTGCCCCCAAGAGCCAGGAAACCCCCGTGGCGGGGAGGCTGTGATGCCGGGTTTCCCCTCCCTCCTTCCCAGCCCGGCTCTGGAGCTCTGGTGCTGACGGACGGCTGGGAACGAGGCCTCTCCTCTCCTCTCAGAGCCTCGCACCCAAGGCCAAAAACAGGTGAGGGGAGAAAGTCGGCCGAGCTGCCAGGCTCAGGTCCAGGAACAGGAGACGCGCCCCCTCCTGGCTTCCGCCCTCCCTCCAGCTCCGCCAAGGCTACAAACCAGGGATGGCGGCTCTGGGGGGCGGGCGAGGGGCCGAGGAGGAGCCCTCACGGCCAGCGCGGCCTCGGGTCTGAGGGGTGCGCACGGGAACCTGCAAGGAGGAGAGGTGAGGAGGAGGCGAGCAGGGGAGGCTGTGGGCGGGGCGGCCCGGCCCCTCAGCGGAGCCCGGCGGCGGCGGCGGCGGCGGCGGCGGCGGCGGGGCAGGCGGGCCCGGAGGAGAGGCGGCGCCGGCGGCCGGGCCCCCCCCGCCCAGGCCGGGGCGCTCGGGGAGGCGGGGCCGGGGCGCCCGGGGGGAGGGCGCGGGAGGCCGGGCCCGGGGCGGCCCCGGGAGGGAGGTGCGAGCAGGCGGAGAGGAAACCCGGGCAGGGGCAGAGAGGGAAGAGGCAGGGTGCAGATGAGATCCAGGAGGAAGAAGAGGTGGGTGGAGATGAGGCAGGGCCTCCGGCGGGAAGCGGAGGAGGAGGAGGCGGTGGTGGGAGGGAGAAAAGGTTAGCGGGCTCCTGAGATGACAGGGCTGCAAAGAGAAGTGAGAGAAGGAAGGGTTATGCAGGTGAGGCGGCCGGCGCGCGGCGGAGCGAGAGCCCTGGCGGCCCGGCCTCCCCCCGCAGGCCCCGGCCCCCGGGGTTGTGCAGCTGGCTCCAGCGGGGCAGCGGGCGGGAGGCTCCGGCTTGGATTAGCAATCATTCCCCTCGGGGGGTGGCTGCACCTTTCTCCTGTGCATCTGCCTCCACCTGCACCTGCTCCACCTGCACCTGCACCTGCTCCTCCTGCCGCCGCTCCTCCTCCAGCTGCTGCTCGGCGCTCTGTGGACCGGCGGCGCACCCAGGGAAGAAAGAGTGGACAGCTAGCAAGGGGCCAGGGCCTGCTGGCGGCTGTCCCTCCCCCCCGGGGCCCCCCACCTCAGGGCGGGCGGGCAAGACGAAGGGAGGGCAGGGCCCTGGAGGCGGGAGAAGTTGGGGCCTCTCGTCCAGGCCCCTGGGAGCCTGGGAAGGGACTGGAGGAAAGGCAGAGAATGGGGCTCTGCTGGGGCCTCCAGGATCAGTCTGGCTGCTATCACACCGAGCAAGGCCCTCAGGGGAGGGGCGGAAGGAAGAGGGGCAGGTGGGTGTGTGGCCAGGGTCGCCTCGAGGGGCACCTGGGAAGGCGTCACTTTAGGAGGCCCCAGAGTAGAAATGAGGCCAAGGAAGGCCCAGGGCAGACACCGCCCACATCGGGGATGCCCCCCACCGGCTCCCAGGGAGGCAGGAGAAGTGGGCTCACTCTCAGCACCCTTGCAAGGCGGTGCCAGCCACTGATGGGGATGGCCCTGATGGGGGGGGGGGCAGGCAGGGGAAGTCACAGGCCGGGGAGGCAGACAGACAGACAGGAAGCCAGGGGCCGTAAGTCTCCAATGCACAGGGACAGGCCAGGCCCCGAGGAGGAATGGTCTCCCTTCCTCCCCGCCTGGCTTGCTGCCCTGCCCCATCGGCCCGCCCAAAGGCCCTCGAGGCCTCTGACTGGCTCTGGGTTCAGGGTGGCAGGACCTCTGCTCAGCCCTCTCCCCACGGCCCGGCTGTTGCTGCCTCAAAGGCCAGGGCCAGAAACACATGGCTGCGCCCCATGGGGTTCCTGACCCCCCTCCTGCAGAGCACCTGACGAAGGGGCCCGGGGAAAGGGACAGGATTAACAGATTTGGCTTCTCTGCCCTGGCCCAGACCAGGCTGGGGACATTTACTGGCCTCTGGGAAATAAACTGGCCATTTGGATCCCAGAAGTTCTAAGCCTGACGGCACCACAGAGAGGACATGGTCTACCCTCAGTTCTCAGAGACCACGACGGGGGGAGGGGGGGCCGGGAGGGCTGAGGCTTGTCCAAGGTGCCCACACCCCTGGTTTCAAGAGCCCCTTTCAAACGGCATCTAGGTCCCCTCCTGCCGTGCCCTAGGGATGATCCCATTTCACTTCTCCGCCCCCCCCCCCCGCCTGGGCCTGGGTAGCCGGCGTGAGCAGATGGGACCATGGGTGGCATGGGATGGATGGCATTGGCTGTGACTGGGTGGTTATGTGTGTGCGGCAGGAGGGAGGAAGAAGCAGGGATGGCTAGGTGGAGGGCAGGGAGGGGAGGGGGGGAGGGGGAGGGAAGCTGAGGTTGGGGGCTCACCTTGGTTTTGCGGCTCGACTCCGAGCTCAGCCCGTGCGGGGAGCTATAGAGCTCCTTGGACACCACGCACAGGAACTCTGCTTGGTCCTCGCTTCCATAGTTGTAGGAGGAGCTGATGTTCACCAGCTGGCAGAGCATGGGGAGAAAGATGACAGGCTGGGTTGAAGGCGGCCAGCAGGGAAGGGGGATTGACATCAGCACTGGTCAAGATACCGACTTCTGTTCTGATCTTGCTGTTCTCGTTCAGGCCCGGCCCTGAGTTTCCATAGAAAGTCAAAGTCTGCTCCCGATCCCCCACCTAGGCGTCAGGTCTGCTTCCAGGTCCAGCCAAGCCCCCCCCCCGGCCCCGGGGGGAGGCTGCCTTATCTTTGCTGCTCCCCACTCCTCACCACAGCCCCAGGCCTAGAGGCCATTTTCTAAAAGCAGGTGGAGGCCAGTGATGGGCAGGTTGTCCCCCTTTGTCCCAGATGTGGCTGAAGCAGCCCCAGGACCAAGTTGTAGGGTAGGGTTGGCATGATGGGGCCCCAAAGAATATTCTGTTCATTCTTGGAAGCAGAGGTAGAACAGGGTGTCCATTCCTTAGGCCAGAGGGCCGGTAAGCAGCGGCCCTGAGCTGTCAGCCCAGCCTCTGGGAGCCCATGCAATTGCCAAAGACTCCCATAGGCTCTCAAGAGCAGCACCACCTTTGTTCTGGGGTCCCTGTGCTTAACCACAACCACAAGGCCCTGTGCATCACATTCAGCCCCCAGGGACCCTCACTGGACAGGCACTGAAAACCATCAGCCCCTCTGGCAGACAGGGCTTGAAGAGGTGGTGGAACAGGAATTAGAACCCAGGATCCTGAGTCCTCTCTGGAGTCTTGTAGACTTCTAGACTGATAGTCTGCATGATGTGTCTGAAGTCCTACCCTCGGCTAGGGACTTTATCAGTGGCCCTTCCCATCTTCACGACAGTCCTGCGAAGGGACTATTGGCACTATTGGCCCACATCACAGATTAGGAAACCGAGGCCCAGAGAGGAGATGCGACTTGCTCAAAGTCACGTGGCACATAAGTGGTGGATCCAGGCCTCTGGCTCCTGGACGGGGCCTGTTCCTCCATCCTGGGGAGCCCCGGCCTTCTCCCTTCTTCAACCTCCACAGGCAAGGAGCTATGGGGGGGTGGCGCAGAGAAAGGGCTAGCTGAACCCTTTTCCTTCACTCGGGACACATTTGCCCTTGGGTGAACTTGCTGGCTCGGTTCCTCTGGGAACCTGAGAGGTGCGCCCTGAGCTGCGTGGCAAGGGCAACACCACTTGTGTTAAGTGTCTCCTGCTGCGTGAACTGCACGTGGACCGGGGGACGATCGGTCACTATGAATCCTCGTGGGAAGCCATCGCTTGGGCTCCCCGGACGTGGCGAGGCCGTGACGTGGCCTGTCACAGGCATGCGGGGACCCTGGGAGCTGCACCTGTGCACTTGTCACAGGAGGTGCTGACCAGAGGTGGAGTCCGCTCGCTCACGCGGCTCTGGTCTCCTTGCACCCAAGCTGTCGTTTGGGGGCCAGAGACTTGCTTGTACTGCTGTGTAGACCCCGGAGAGGTTGCCTAGAGACGCCCTGTGGCCCCGTGTGGCCCTTCTGAAACCTGGGTCGGCAAGACGGCTGAGGGGGCTGGGGCGGGGAACCCAAGCCTGGGGCCGCGGAAGGGAAGGACCCGCCTTGCCCGGAAGCTCAGGGGTTTCCGGTGTGGCCCCAGGGCCCCCGCGCACCTGCTCGAAGCGCCAGCCGTCGGACATGGTGGAGACCATCTGCGTGAGCTCCTCCTCCTGGCACTGCAGCACGCGGTACACGTGCTTGGGGGGGACCTGCAGGCGGAGAGGCGACGTGGAGGACACCCGCGGGAGAGGCAGATGCACCTGTCGTCCCCCCAGCTCCTTCTCTCCCCACCCACACCACATACCCCGAGAAGGAGAGGAGGAGGGGCAGGGGCGGCCAGGGAAGGTGGCAGCCATGTTCTGAGTACCTCCTACGGGCCAGGCACTTGACCTGCAGGCTCACTTAATCCTTCCACAAACCCTAGGAGTTATGGGATTTTCACCGAGGCTCTGAGGGGGTCTTACACGCCCACGGCCACCTAGCTTAAGTGTGGCAGCACCGGAACACGGGTGATACAAGGGGGCAGGAAGGACGACATGGAGCCTCCCCACTTCAATCTCTTGGGGCTGGGAGATGGTGCCTCACCACCTGCCCACCCGCCCGCACCCATGTCTCCCCCAGGGTGGCCAGAGAATCCCTCCGTCTCCTCCTACAGACTGGGCCCAGGGCCCAAGCTCAGAAATGTGAACCCCAGCAACTTGTGCCCTGCCCACCAGGGGCCTACCTGACCCCACAGAATGGATCATTTACTCATCCTGCGTGGCCCCCACAGGGCCCCCGTCCCTCCACACGGACCCCATTTTGTTTGTGAGGAAGGGAAGAGTGCAGGTCTCAGCACCTCTATATTCCACAAGGGGAAATCAAGGTCCAGAGGAGCAGCGTGATGGGCCCAAGGTCACACCGTGAACAGAGCCGCATCAGGGACAGAACCCAGCGCGATGGGCCCAAGGTCACACTGTGAACAGAGCCACATCAGGGACAGAACCCAGCATGCTTCTCCCAGTCTGGGGCTTTCGCTGGGCAGCCCGGGAGCTGGACCACACCCTTTCTTTACAGGCTAGCGTGGCCTCCCCTCCTCTCTCATGCCTCCCCCCGTCTCCCTCCGGCCCCGGCCTCCACTCCCACTGCCCTGCTGGTCTGCTGCTCCTGACCTGTGTGACCGGATAGTCCTTCTCCTCCATCCGGTCTTTGATGATGCGGATCAGCGGGCCAATGTTGTAGAACTCGGCTTCCTCGAGGACACCTGGCACGGATGGGGCAGCCCCCGGGTCACTCGGTGGCCCCCGTGCCCTCTCCTCCTCTCTGCTTGTCCCCTCTGGCTCCACACCCACTCCCACTCCAGCCATGGGCGGTGATGAGCATCTCTTGAGTTCAGGGCTCAAGCAGGAGGGGACGTTTCCTTCCCTGGGTCCCACACTCTCTGTGGAAGGGGTGAGATGCTGCCCCCCAACCAGTCCCGCATCCCTGCTGTGCTGAGCCTGGGGACCTAGGGACACCCGCCAGGGCCCTCATCCGGGGGCTGCTCTAGGGTTGGCAAGAGGCAGAGGCTTGCTGGGACTGGAGCCTAGCATGCCACCACGAGAAGGACCTTGGCTGCCCCCTATTACATGCTCCCGTTTATGAAGCACATGCTCAGTGCAGGTACTGGGCTAAGCATTTTATGTTCTCTCCTGCAGTTCATTCTTAGCACTAGAAGTAGGGACCTTCACTGCCTCCACTGAACAACTGGGGAAACTGAGGGCTGGAAAGAGAAGCAGTTGTCCAAGGCGATGCGGCCAGTAAGTGGCAGAGCTGGGATCCAAATTCAAGCTCCTCTGACTTCAGAGCCCATTATAAATGCATCGTCTTTGTGCCCTGCCTCTCCCCCACCCTACAGTGTGCAAAGCCCCTCCCGTGCTCATCATGAGCCCTGGGGACATGGGGAAGCAGGCATTATTGTCCCTACACAGCTGAGGGAACTGAGAGTCTCGGAGACTAAGTGAGTCACCTTGCCAGTGAAAGGGAGTGGCCCCACGCCTTTCGACTCCCCTAAGTTCGTACAGGGCAGGGACCCCTCTGGTCCTTTCCCTGATGGGCCCCTGGGCGCCCTGAGGACAGGGCCCATGTCTGATCGACCCTGCTGTCCCAGGTGCCCACACAGCAGCTGACACAGAGGAGGCGGCCGCTGAGTGTTGCTGCCTGAGGTCACCTCATGAGCCCTGCAGATGACAGACAGACGGCTAACGTGGCATCACAGGTCCTCAGTGCCGGGTGCTGCGCTAAGTGGCACGCTTGTGTTAGTTCCTTTTACCCTCACAGCAGCCCGGGAAGGCGGGTGCTATTGTCACCCCCATTTCACAGATGGGGGCCTGGAGGCACAGAGGCGTAAGTGACTTTCTTGGTGTCACACAGCCAGTAAATCTCTTCCCAGGTCCTCTGGCCCCTTTGGTGGGGGCCCCGGCCCCATCTGAGGTGCTGGGAGGGGCAGAACTGGGAGAAACCCAGCACCTGTAGACAGACATCAGCTGGGACTCAGATGGACTGCTCCCCTCCCCTCCCCACGGGCCCAGCTCCCGGGGCCTGGCTAGCTGTGCTCCCTGAGGAGCCGCCCGAAAGCAGCGGGGCTGGTGCCCACAGTGCGTTCTGAGGGTGAAGCCCTAGCCCACTGGGGAGCTACCTGGCCTCGAGATGACCATGTCCTAAGCAGGTCAGGAAGGAAGACCGTGGGCCCTGAGTGAGGAAGGATGGGCTGTGCTAGATGCCCACGGGGTACAAGCACTGGGCCTCAGGACACCTGTTGTCCCAGAACATGCTCTCACCACCTCTAATTTCTACACACAAGTGGAGAAAGGAGAAGTGACATGTCCAAGCTGGCCTGGCTGGGTCAGCTGACCCAGAGCCATGCCCTGGGCCCCAAGGAAGAGTTGACTTGGCCCTGACTGTAGTCCCTGCTCCTGGCTGAGGCTTTGCCAAGAGGATATTCTCTCAGGCATGGCTTCCACACCCATCTGCTGGAGCCAGAAATGGGCATCTATGGGCCTCAGCTGCCCAGGCCCCAGGGGAACCAGACCCCTGCTGGGGAGCAGGCTCCCCTCCGCCACCTCCACCCGCAATCAGCTGGGTGACAGAGGCCGCTGGATTTGGGGAAGAGTCACCTGCTCCACCCGCCTGCTGACTGCCAGAACTCACCAGGCATCTGAGCTACTGGATCACCCACAGAGAGAGAGCCAGACCTCCTCCTCCCATGCCCATCTCTTCCCCATTCACACCTGGCTTCCCAGGAGGTCAGGAGAAAAGGCATCCCCGCCCCCAACAGAGGCAGCCGGCCCCAGTGGCTCCCTCTATCTTCTACCTCTCTGTTGGCACTCAGCAAAAGCTCAGGCTGGTCAGCTCGGCAGAGCCCCGAGGCTCAGTCCAGGCAGATGCCTTGAGATTCAGCCTTTACAGGGATGAGGAGGCAGGCAACAGGGAAGTTAAATGTCCCCCCGGCCCCCAACTGGGAGAAATGGCTTTGCACCTCCGATGGAAGCCTCTGGCAGACTGCAGAGGGCAGGGCTAGGAGGCAGGTCCCCGCCAGCCCCCCGGCCCAACTCACCCTCCTCAGCCATGTCCTTGTCCAGCACCAGCTTGCCATGCCGGAGAAAGTTCAGGATGGGCCCAAAGTAGGTGGGGTCACGGTCAATGAGGTAGGCCCCAGTCTCATCCTATGGAGATGAGGGGAACAGGCCATGAGAGGAGAGTGAGGTTTCCCCCTGCCCCCCACTTAAGGCCCAGTATGGATTGGAGGGAGGGAGTGAACACAGAGTCTGCTCTTCCCTGCAACAAAGGGGCATGCTGGAGCAGAAAGGCTTTGGGGTCAGAAACACCTAGGTTCAAATCCTGCCTCTGCCTTTTCCTCACCGTGTGACCTTGGGCCAGTGACTTGGCCTCTCTGAGCCGCACTCTGCTGTCCCGTAACTAGGGGTCATTGTGAGCATCCAGTGGATTCTGAGGGGCACCCGACCCAGAGGAAGGTTCAGTGATTGTCCCTCTTAGAGGCTGTTCCCCTGAAGCCGCCCTACACTGTCTCCATCAGATCCCCAGTCATTCTGGGGATGTCAGATGTTTATAAGTTTCCAAAGGAGGCACTACCTCATTGGACAGGCACGGCCTTCAGGGAGACAGGGCGGGCATCCGGACAACTCTACAGGGGGGAAAACGGAGACATCAAGGGGTGAGGGGACTTGCCCAAGGTCACAGCATCAGAGGGTCAGGGAATGAGGGAGAGGGGGCCCTAGAGGTCACCTCCAGACCAGCCTCCTCTGGTTACAGACAGGAGGCTGAGCCTGGAGCAGGGAGGGGTCCGACCCAAGGTCATGCAGGCAGTTTGCAGCAGAGCCGGGATGGGAGCCCAGAAATGGTGCCAGACAGGCCAGGGCTCCTCCCTGATGAAGCCCAGCTCAGAAGGCACCCCAGGACTTCTCCACCCAGCTCCCTGCACTCCTAGGCCACCCACACCCCAAAGGGCGGAGGAAGCAGCCTCAGCAACTCCCTTCCCCAGTGTGGGAGTCCCGTTTGGGAAGGAGGGAAGGCCCTAAAGGAGAGGGAGAGTCCCGATCCACCAGCCTCCCGGGGTGGGAGGCCAGGGCAGTGCTCAGAAGGCTCCAAATGGCCGCGGCCTGGCGTTGTCCCGTTGCCACGGCAATGGGCACATCCCTCACTCTCCCATCCACTTCCTCCTCCCTTCCTCTGGCCAGTTCTTCCTGCCTCCGACTCTTGGTAAAGAAAACCAGCCGGGTTCCCGGCCAGGCCAGCCCTGATTCGGGCGGGCAGAGGATTCCGCCCCCGCCCCCCCCCCCCGCCTCGCCCCCGACGGCCGCCCACCGCGCGGGCCTCACCCGGTCCGACTGCAGCTCTTCCCCCTGGCACAGGCGGCTGAGGAAGGACTTCTGCTCCCGGCACAGCGTCTGCCGGGTGGTCAGGAACACCGTGCCCCCCACGTTGAGCCGCACCCACTTGCCCCAGGCGCCCGCCGCGCGGCCGCCCATCCCCGCGGGCGGCGCTGCCTCCCCGGCCTCCATCCTCCCGGCTCGCCCGGGTGTCTGCATCCTCCGGGCGCGGCGGCTGGGGGCGGGCAGGTACCGCGCGCCGGGCATGCCGGGAGCTGTAGTCCGCGCCCCGGGACGGGGAGGCCTGGGTGGCCGGGGCGGGGCGGGGGTGGAGGGGGGCTGGTCCCCAGGCTCTTGAGCCGCCCTCCCAGCCCGACCCACTCCGCACTTCGTGGGCGGCCCGCAGACCCGGCCTCTAGAAGAAGCCCTTTGGCCAAGTCACGGTGTTTGGGGAAGGTCAGGTTCGAGGTCACTGGGACAATAGTGAGCGCTACTCCAAACCGGCACTCCTCGCTCCTGCGTGTTCTTCACATTACGGTTTTCTCTTTGTCGGGTCTGGGTTCTCAAACAGCTCATAATGGGTAGAAACTATTGCTCCCAGGATTCCGTGGCATTTACCTGTATCTGTTTTCCAAGGTGCTTTCATACTGCCCTTTGTGTCTGTCGGTGGTGGGCGGGCTGGGTTCCTGGCCACCCTAAGTTCTTTGAGAACAACATAGCTGGGCTTGAAGTTGACTGACCAGCCACTATATTCCAGATGCTTTGCATGTCTGTCTCAGTCACTGAAGGTCTCGTCAGCCCTGTGAGGTTGGTATCACTATACCCATATTGTACAGATGAGGACACAGATGTGAAGTGACCTCCCTGACTCACACAGCTGGGGAGTGGCAGGCCAGCAAGAGCCCATGTGGGTTCCAGGTGACCACCAAGGCCCCTTTCCTGCTCCCCTGCCATGGGCTGTCGGTGCTCCCTGGGAAAGATGTCTAGGGAGGAAGGGTGGACAGGGCACTGGGTCAAAGTCGGGAGGACTGGGTTTTCATCCCGGCTTTTGTAGGCTGAGGTATTGGTCGAGGTCTCACTTTTCCCATCTGTACTGTGGGAGGGGGAGGAGGGGTTGGTTCTGTGGGTCCCCTTCTAAGCCAGATAACTTGGAGTTGGCACTGACATCGTGGATACTGCAGGGTGGGGGAAGAGGGGCAGCTCCTCATGTCATCTGGAACCAGGTAGGGCCGGGGGCTGAAAGGGAAGCTGTCCTCCTTCACTTTCTCTCCTTGATGTTCCTGTCCTGGTCCTGGATTAAGGGGGAGAGGTCTGAGGCTCCCCTCAGTGATCCCGGTGCCCCCCTCCACCCCAGGTTCCCCACACTAGGCAGCCTGGCCATGCGCTGAAAGTTCCGTTATGACCCAAGGCTCTGCCTTCTCCACAAAGCCCTCCCCCTTGGCAGGGAATAGGTCACAGCTGCTAGACTGTTGCTCCTGAGAACTCACCAATATGTTCTTGAGCAACTTCCTCTCTGAGCCTCGGTGTTTTTCTTTTGCAAAATGGGAATTAGAACAGTAGCTCCCCCAGAGCGTTGTTGTGCAGATTACATTAAATAAGTCTGTTAAACACCTGGCATAGTCCCTGGCTTTCAGTGTATTGGATGGGTGGACGGATGGATGGACGGATGGATGGGTGGACGGATGGGTGGATGAATAAAGTGGAATATGGACTGGCCTTGGAAGATCAGCAGCAGAACGTAATGTGAGCCCTCAACCATTGTTAGCTAAAACAAAGCTAGAGCAGGAAATATTTCTTTATCCACTTAAAGGTTGTAGGCAGGGAGTGATGTGGTCAGATTGGCCACTTGGACCACTCCGGGGGCTGCAGGAAGGATGGTCTGAAGCACTGAGAGACCAGTTAGGAGGCCATCTGGGTCAGGACAGGGGGAAGCCCAAACCAAGGCAGTGGCAACAGGCCAAGATGGAAGAAGGTGGATTCAGTGGATACTTAGGAAGTGGAAGTAAAAGAGTCAGGTTCAAGGGGCTGTGGGAAGGAGGGAGGAGGCAGAAGAGGTAGGAGGCTCTATGAAACAGGAGACGCAGTACAGGAGGAGCGGCAGACCCGGGGAGTGAGCAGGGGGATGAAGAGGTCAGTTTGGGGCCAACCTGGGTTTGCAGTGACTGTGGGGGAAGCAACAGTTGTCTTTCCAGGTGTGATGCTCAGGAGAACTACGGTCCTGTTTCTGATTACGGACTGGCACTCTTCATGATTTTTTGCATGTGTTCTCCATTTAGAGGACAAAACCAAACATCTCCGAGACAGTTTCTCAGGATGATGGTTACCGGGGAGGGGAGCCCAACTTCAAAAGCTTGCTTGTTACACTGCCCCCTGTTGTCCCCTTCTGGGAAGAGCAGTGTTCAAATGCTTTATTTTATTTTATTATGTTATGTTACTCACCATACATTATATCATTAGTTTTTGATGTAGTGTTCCATAATTCATTGTTTGCGTATAACACCCAGTGCTCCATTCGATATGTGCCCTCTTTAATACCCATCACTGGGCTAACCCATCCCCCCACCCCCTACCTTCTAGAACCCTCAGTTTGTTTCTCAGAGTCCATAGTCTCTCATGGTTTGTCTACCCCTCCGATTTCCCCCCCTTCATTTTTCCCTTCCTACTATCTTCTTCTTCTTCTTCTTCTTTTTTAACATATAAGCTATTATTTGTTTCAGAGGTACAGGTCTGTGATTCATCAGTCTTATACATTTCACAGTGCTCACCATAGCACATACCCTCGTCAATGTCTATCACCCAGCCACCCCATCCCTCCCACCCCCCACCACTCCAGCAACCCTCAGTTTGTTTCCTGAGATTAAGAATTCCTCATATCAGCTTCCAGGACAAACAAAAACTAAAAGAATTTGCAAACATGAAACCAGCCCTGCAAGAAATATTGAAAGGGGTCCTCCAAGCAAAGAGAGAGCCTAAAAGTAACATAGACCAGAAAGGAACACAGACAATATACAGTAACAGTCACCTTACAGGCAATACAATGGCACTAAATTCATATCTTTCAATAGTTACCCTGAATGTAAATGGGCTAAATGCCCCAATCAAAAGACACAGGCTATCAGATTGGATAAAAAAAACAAGACCCATCGATATGTTGACTGCAAGAGACTCATTTTAGACCCAAAGACACCTCCAGATTGAAAGTGAGGGGTGGAAAATCATTTACCATGCTAATGGACATCAAAAGAAAGCTGGGGTGGCAATCCTTATATCAGACAAATTAGATTTTAAACCAAAGACTATAATAAGAGATGAGGAAGGACACTATATCATACTTAAAGGCTCTATCCAACAAGAAGATCTAACAATTGTAAATATCTATGCCCCTAACATGGGAGCAGCCAATTATATAAGCCAATTAATAACAAAATCAAAGAAACACATCGACAACAATACAATAATAGTGGGGGACTTTAACACCCCCCCCTCACTGAAATGGACAGATCATCTAAGCAAAAGATCAACAAGGAAATAAAGGCTTTAAATGACACGCTGGACCAAATGGACTTCACAGATATATTCAGAACATTCCATCCCAAAGCAACGGAATACACATTCTTCTCTAGTGCCCATGGAACATTCTCCAGAATGGATTACATCCTAGGTCACAAATGAGGTCTCAACCGGTACCAAAAGATTGGGATCATTCCCTGCATATTTTCGGACCACAATGCTTTGAAACTAGAACTCAATCACAGGTGCTTCTTAATAGGGCTCTGATTTGGGCTTTTGAAAGCCAGTCAGACAGGAAGAGGGGTGATTCGGGGGCACAGGCTCCCAGACAAGAATGCCAGCCCAGGCTTTACGGCTTGCTAGCTGGGTGACCTTGGCAAAGTCACTTAACCTCTCTGCACGTCACTGAGGATAATAATAGTACGGAGCTCATGCAGTTGTGAGGACTCCATGAGCTAACAGGGGAAGGCATGTGAAGAGCACTCAGCGCACTGCCTGAGCAAAGCTTCAGTGAACATTGGCTCTGCTGGAACCAGTCCTGCCTCCCTGTCTACTGTTGGTTGGACCCGAGATCAGGGCCTGAGGCAAGGCAACTTAATGGACCTTCAGGTCCATTCCCATTGCCCAGGGATGAACCAACTCCTCCATGCCGGGGTTGGAGGGACAGGCACCGCCTCAGACCCAACCCCAAGAACCCAGCCTCCAGAGCGCAACAGCTATCATTTCCTCAGGCTAAACCCCTGGACCCACAGTGACCCAGGAGTCCCTCTGCCACCGGATGGAGCTGAAGGAACATGAAATATATCCCAAAGTCCTCACCTGAGCTCATCGCTGCAGCCTGTTTTGAACCTTCTCGTGTTAGCAGTTTCCCCCCCACCTGAGTGACTTGCTTCACATCTGCTGTCAGCTCCGTGACTAAGATGTCACCCGGCCCTGCTGGGGTTTGGGGCTCAGTCCGCCTCTTCCCACATTCAGATGTCAGAACATTCTGATGAGCCTCGACTCTGTTGTGTTTACATCCAATCCAATCCAGTCGCTGCCTTGGCCCTCAGTTCTGCCTCCTATCTAGGAATGGGGGTTGTTGGTTCTGAGTCACCTTTTCGGGTCACTTGAGGCGAGAAACAGGCGTATTCAGTCAGAAAGAGAGTGTCCTGAGCAGCCAGAAATATTCAGACAGGCTTTCAGAGGCCAGTGGTCCAGGGGGTGGACTCCATGGTTCCCTGGCTGGGAGACACCTGGCCAGTCACATAACCTCTTCAACCCCCACTTTCCACCATTTGCAATACTTACATCATAATGTTATTCGTACTTCTTAGCGCTATTACAGGCAGTACGTGTTAGCTATTAGCATTGACCACTTCCGATGTGCCACACTGGTGCTAGAAGTATCATTCCAGCCTAGGTCAGTATTATTGTGTCCATTTTATAGACAGGGCTCGGAGAGTCTGCATAACTGGCCCGCAGGCTTGGATATTCAGAAAAGAACAAATATGTCTCGATGCTTTTACCTAGAAGTCCCTCCGGTTGTCAACATTCACCAAGCCTGCCCCAAGCGCTGGGCTTTAGAGTTTCAGAAATGAAGGAGGCGCACCTCTTCCCCTGGAAGAGCCCATAATTTCTGTGGGCCCCAGGGGGCGCCATTCGCACCGCGAAAGGGCAAGTCGAAGGTCTGGAGGAAGGGACGCCTTTCTCCAGTTGGCAAGAAAGTGTCGCTGGGGCTGGCGGTGACGCTGCCCTGGGCCGGGGTGCTCAGCCCGGTGCTCAGCCCTCTTCCGCCAGGGGGTCCCGAGCCGGCGGGAGAGGCGGGCGGTTCGGCCTCACCGCCCGGGGGCGCGCCAGCCCGCTCGGGTCGTTGGAGAGCACCCCATCCCCCATCCCACCCAGCTAGCCCACGCGGTCAGTCTGCACGCTCTGGTTCTCTTTCAGCTCAGCTCCGGGGAACTGAGGCCCTGACAATCGGCTCGGTCTTATCTGCCTCCTGCAGGGACCTCACTCTGCCCTGCAAACGCCCCTCTGGCTCCGGCTGATGTCCTTCTACAGCTGGAATCAGGAATCACACAGAACCAGGCATCTACTGCCCATCTCCCTGGGCCCCTAGGACCCTTGCTCCTGCTGCCCCAGGGACATTTATGAGCACTTCCATGGGCCCAGCTCCGCGCCAAGCACTTTTACAGATTATCCCTTTTAGTCCCGATGAACAGGGAGATGCTATGGTAATTGCCATGGTACAGTGGGGGTCCCCTGGGGGTGTTCTGTGTGCCCCCAGATTCTCCTGCTCCTCCACCCTCCTCTTCTCAGCTCCTCCATGGCTGGTGTGGAACAGGGATGGGAAAAGAAGGGAAAGATTTTCCTTCTGGCGCCCATGTCCTCGGGTGTGCTTTTGCTCTGGCCAGAGCTACGTTTCAAGCTGGCTAGGTTTTTCCCTGGAGGACTGTTTTGAGGGTTCTTTGGAGCCCCCATTGCTAGGAATGCCTCCCACTGTACTTTCCTTCCTGGGCAGGGCCTCCTCTGATTGGTTGCCTGGGACACCCTACTCAAGGACCACCTCCACTGGGTCCCACTGCCCACTCCCCTTCTGCCCCAGCTCCAAGTCACTGCTCTTCCTCAGCTGGTCCCCCCAGAAGCCAAGGCTCCATGCAGACAGGGTTCACCCTGCACATCTGATTCCACCATCAAGCGGCCACCCAGGTTGGCATCCCTCCTGCAAGTTTTCCCAGACGTGGGTCCCACCCAGCCTCTGAGCACCCCTGGAATCCAGGACACCTAGGCCAAGCCCTGCAGATGGGCTCCCCGAAGCCCGGCTCACTCAGCCTTCCAGGAGGGGAGGCCCCCGCCATGCACCTTCCCCCATGGGGCGGGAGAAGTAGAGCACCCCAACAGTTCCTTGTAGAGAGAGCCCCCCCTCTGCCTTCCAACTGCTCCTGCTGGCATCTCTCCCTGCTGTAAGCAGGAGGGCCCATCTCCTGAGGTTTCTAAAACTAGTTCTTAACCACCTGGGTTGAAAGAACTGCTGTAGATGGTCTAGCACCTTGTTTTAGAATGTGGGTGCAGTTAGCAGCTCTGGCTGAAACTGGATCAGAAAAGCCTGCGTTGAAAAAATAGCATTTTATGTTGAAGCAATTTCAGACTTGGAGAAAAGTTGCAAAAATAATACCAACAATTCTGGTGGAGCCTCCGCTCAGATTCACCAAATGCTCACATTTTACTACGTTGGCTCTTCCATTCTCTGAGAGCAAATCACAGAGCTAATGACCTTTCGCTTTTGAACTCTTCCGTGTGATCCACACATCAGGGCATTCTTTTAAATAACCACAGTGCAATTACCAACGTCAGGAAAGGAGCATCGGTACAATACCATTAACTGATCTGCAGATTTCTTCAAATCTCCATTTGTCTTGCTAATGTCCTTTATAAGCAAAAGAAGGGGAAAAGTCCTTTAGGATCCATCCAGCAAATAACGCATTCCGTTGTCATGGCTCTTTACTCTTCTGATCTGGAACAGTTCTTCAGTCTTTCTTTGGCTCCCATTTTTGAGGAGAATGGACTGTTTATTTTGTAGAATGCCCTCGGTTTGGGTTTGTCTGATACTTCCTCATGATTACACTCATTGTGTGCATTTTGGGCAGGAACCCCCAGAAGCAGAGCCGTGTCCTCATGCCTCCGATGAGGAGGACACGTGTCAGTTCATCCCGTTGCTGGTAAGGTCAACTGGTCATTTGTGAAGGTGGTGTCAGTTAAGTTGCTGATCTGTACAGTTCCTGTCTGGCGCTTCGAATTCATCAGTATCTTATGGGGAGATACATGGAGACTATATTAATATCCTGCTTTCCAGCAAACACTTTATCCCATCATTTATTTTAATATTCATTGATGATTCCTGCTATACCTATTACTATGACAATTGCCAAATTGTGATTTTTCTCCCTACGTCCATTGTTTCTTCTACATTTCTTAGTAGCATTCTGTTGTCAGATGGGAGCTGTCGGAGCAGATACCACAGTGAGTCAGGCCAAGGGCCAAGTCAAGATAGCAGAGGCTGGACATGAGTATCAGGCAGCCAGAAATTGCTTGGAGCCAGGGGAGCGAAGAGCCAGCGGGTAGTGTGAGGGTGGGTAAGCCAGAGGCCCTGTACCTCCCCAGGGGACGTCTCTAGCTCTGCTCTCGGAGGTGCCCAGAGCAGCTCTTGATAGTTGGGAGCTCTTGCCTGGCCCACGGCAGTCTCTAGCTGCTTCTGCCTGTCCCTGCCTCTCACGTCACGCCCCTTAACTCTCCCAGAATCCTGTGCAGCCACCGGCAGTGCCTTTGTAGCCCCGGCCTGTCAGAAGAGCAAGCATGGGTCTGGTACTGAATTCCTACCCTAACCCGCTCTCCACAGGTGGGAGGGAGCATTTACCTGCCCCTTTGCCCCCCAAACCCTTGGGGGAGGAGAGAAAGGGGTGCTTCCTGGAACCCTAGGGAAAGAAGTAAACCCAGGTGAACAAAATTCATTATCTAGCTGCTTTCTTGCTTTCAAATTAGGAAAAGTCAACTGGGCAGCATCAAAAGCATCCCCATCCTTGGGTGAGGCTCTCCCTTTTCATTGCTCACTCCGGGGGGGCTACACAAGCACCGGAGCCCATGCCTTTCACTGGAGAAAGAAGTCCTTGGGCTCCCATGCAGGCCCTGTGTGCTCTTATTTGACTTCGCTCTCTCAATGGGCTTGTAACTGATTTTCAAGCCTTTTGGAAATGGGGAAAGGCTGTGGGAGGGGGTGGAGTCTGGCAAGGGAAGAAGGCAAGAAGGAAGCGTGGACACAGCCAGCCTCGCTGGGGTCATAACTTCCGGAGCACCAGCCCCCGGAAGCTTCCCTGACACCCGGCTGGCCTGGGAACTCCCGCAGGCCCCTCTGCCTTGTTCCGGGCCCCACATTCTGCAGCTGGGCACATGCCTCCGGCTAATGATGAGGGCCTGTACTCATTCCCTCCAGGATTGCAATCCTAGGCCTCAACTTCCTGTGACCTCTCTAAGCTCAACCTTCCTTACCTGCAAAATGGGGGAGAAGAACACTATTTCTCAGGGTTGTCGGATTAAATGAACACAAAAACATTTAGCATCCTCCCTGGCAAGGAAAGTGCTGGAGAAATAGGAGGGATTATTATGGTCTCTGTCAGCCCTACCAGGGTATTTATGTATTGTATAGGTCAAGCATTCATTAGGACCTGTCTATGTGAGTTGCTGTGCTGGGGCCAGGAAGAGAACCATGAATAAGGTAGGTACCCTCACGGGTGTTGAGGCCGTCACAGGGAGGCAGGAGCGGAGGGTAGGACAGAATGTTAGTAATAGTAATAATGTGTGGCGGTTAAGCGTCTGCCTTTGGCTCAGGTCATGATCCCGGGGTCCTGGGATCGAGCCCGGCATCAGCCTTCCTGCTCAGTGAGGAGTCTGATCCTATGAGGTGGCTACCGGATTAGCGCCACGTCCAGATGAGGTATCTGAGGTAACTGCCACACTCACAGCCAGGAAGCGGGAGGTCTGGGTGCCTCCACTTGAAAGTGTGTGCTGCATTTCGTGGATGGGACAGGCTGCATCTTTGTATCTTGAGTGTGGGGGGGGGTAAGAGATCCAAAGCAGTGGGAATAGGCGTGGCGCTCCCCAGGCCTGGGTGCTGACTGGCTGTGGGTGCAGGAGGTAGAATCTGGAGACTCACTGCCAGGTCTGGGCACAGGTGACCTCTTTGGTGGTGGCCGTGTGTACTGAGATGGGGAACACAGTCAGAGGGGCAGGGTTAGGGCCCCAGCAGGCAGCAGACACAGGGATCAGAATTCAGTGAGGATCTGGGTCTGGCAAGCTGCTGGTGGCCCAGATTTGAGAGTGACGGGTTCAACAAAGTGGGTAAAGCCACTGGAAGGGCTTATTCATTATCCAGAGGGCGTGTGGGCCCACCTAGAAGCAGGCAGAGACTCTGAAGAACATGACAGTCACCAGGAAGGACGGGCAGCAAGAATATTCCAGACTCGCAAGGACCTGGGAAGTCACAGCAGCTGGGGCCATTTAGCTTAGGGGCAGACAGCCCCAGAAGGGATCACGGCAATGCAATGGTAAAACAAAGCCACTGGGTGCTCAGATGCCCTCAGTATACCACGTTCCACCCCCAACAGGTAATATATGTTGAAACTTTCGGTGCTTAAAATTAGAACGCTTTGGTAACCTAAAAATTCCATCTCTTCCTGAATGACTCATTCCCCCATAAATTCAGAAATAAAGCTCCATTGTGCTTATATAGCTGGGTTATTCCAGTAGGAGTGACACCTTATATTGTTTTGAACTTGACCTTACCTGACATCACCCCTAGAATTTGCTCCCCTTTCTCAGACTAGATGACCGAGGCCCCGCCCAGAAGGATCTGAAAGGCAGACCTTCTGGGGCCTTGTGCAGAACTGATTCCAAGCACCAGGACCAAATCAGTACATTGATTCATGATTCAGTCCACTGTGTGTGGGGCGGGGGCTTCGGGCCATGAACCCTCGTGGCAACGATCCAAGGAGTGAGCTCACATTCCCGTGCAGCTGGTTCGACAAGGTTGGAATTGTCCGGCTGTCCCCGACACAGAGGGGTGCTCAGCAAATATTTGCCAAGTGGACAAAAATTTCATCATCCTTGTTGTCCAGTGTGGCAAGCTCCTGCCTGGAACACACAGGGTGGGTAGGTCGGATTCTGGCAGAGGCTGGGACTCCGCACCGAGTGGTTAATCATTCTGGGAGTTCAGACTTGCAAGAGGCAGGGCGGAACCCAGTCAACTCCTCAAAGTTAAACAGCAGCTCTGGGAATCCTGGGAAGGCAAAGCTCAATTTCCGTTCTCCTGCTTCTGGGCCACTCTCTGAACCTGTCTAGACCCATCTGGAACCTTCCCAGAAGGAAAAGCCTCAGCTCTGATCCACTGGGTTCCTGGCTGGGAGGTGGACCGGGGTGGGGGAAGAGAGCCTAGCCAAACCCCCTTGTTTAAATCCCATAGCTCAGAGTGTCTCCTCCTCGTGGAGCTGGGAGACACTCGGCCACCTTCCCTGAGCTTGTCACTTGTGTTTCCAAACCCCGAGCGACCCTCCATTCTCCCCTTGATTCTGAAAATCTGGAAAACCACCAAAGCAAGACCCACTGGAGGGGCTTCCACCCTGCGATTTCTAACTCCAGTCCGGCCCCTCTCTCAAACTAGCTGTGTGCCCTCAGGCAAACCACGCAACCTCTCTTGAGCTTGTTTTTTCACTTGTACAATGAGTCTGTTGCCACTTCACGGTTGGTCCTCCCTTCTCTCTGGAAATATGATAGCACTGGCCAGTTTCACTGGAACACAATTCTGGTATTTGCTGTCCCCTCACCCCCAATGCCAGAAGTACAGGAGGCACTCAACATGCTGAATAAGTAACAGTCCCTTAAAAAAAAATAACAAGAACACTTGATATTTACTCTGTGCCTGGCACCAAGCTCAACAGTCTCAGTGGATTCTTTCATGTAATCTCTGTAATGCTCAAGGGAAATGCAATTCCTCCCATTTTAAAGATGAAGAAACTGAGGCTCAGAGAGGCTCAGCAGTGACCAAGGTCAGGCAGCCTTGTTCAGGGGAGCTGAGACAGGAGCCAGATCAGAACGCACACGCATTTGCAGACAAACCCCTCTCCCTGAAGAGGCAGGGACGCTTCCGGGAGAGAAAATGAGGCTTATCTGAGCATCAAAGGAAGGAGACTTCTGAGCTGCTAGATGTAGCCTCCAGGGGAAGGGGCTGGGATCCCTGTCTACACTGTCCCTGACTGTTGTTATTTGCTCCTAGAGTGGTGGTTCTCAACAGAGAGCGATTTTTGCCTCCCGGGGGATATTTGGTCATGCCTGGGGATGGTTCTGGTTGTCACAACTGGTTGGTGCTCCTGGCATCTAGTGAGTAGAGGCCAGAAATGCTGCTAAACATCCCACAATGCACAGGACGGCCCCGGCAACAAAGAATGATCCCGCCCCAAAAAAACCCTGAGCTAGAAAAATGGGACTCTGCAGGGGTCCCTGGGTGGCTCAGTCGGTTAAGCATCCGACTCTTTGATCTCAGCTCAGGTCATGATCTCAGGGTCCAGAGATCGATCCTTGTGTCGGGCTCCGGGCTCAGCGCAGAGTCTGCTTGTCGCTCTCCCTCCCCCCAACTTGTGCACGCTCTCTCTCTAAAAGAAATAAATAAAATCTTTTTAACAATGGGACTCTGCAATGAGCTCTTGGCTAAATCTTTGTCTGAAATCCCTCATTCTTCACATTTTAGAGGTGAGGGAACAGACTCAGGGAGGTTGGGACTTACTTTAGAGCTCTCACCCAGAAAACCAGGATTCTGTCCTGTCGGCTGGCCCCCTCACGGTCATGGACTTGGGAGGTGACTCAGCGTCAGAGGACATGTGATGGGGGTCGCAGGTACAAAGAAGAGTAAATTCAGAGTCAGGAAACCTGGGTCTGGTCCAGCTCTGTGGTAAATCCATCGTATGCCCTTGGGTAAGTCACTGTCCACTCTGGTTTTATTCTTCTAGGGTTCTCCCCAGTACCAACCAGTGTTGCCTCTTTGCTACTGAGGGGTGCCTTGGGGGCTTGGAGATGGGGAGGTGTGACCCAACTTCAGGCAGGGGCCATCTGGGGCTTTCTCAGACACCATGTCCATCTCTGCACAAAGGACAAATGCAGAAGGAGGACAGAGCCTCTACCCTCGGGAAGCCTGGGGACAGAGGTGTTCCTTGAGTACAAAGGATCAAACCCCCTGGGTCCCCCTGCCCCCTGGTAGCTCCAGAGGCTAGTCTCCAAGCATGGGATCCCAGAGTGGCTGAAGTCCAATCTGGCTGAACTTCACCCCTCTCTTGAACATCCTGGCTGGACTGGGACAGGCCTCCTCATGTGGTACAGCCTCCTACCGGTTTAGACCAGTAGACTGTCTTGACATGAGATGTACAGGTGTGCACTGACCTGGGTGGGTCTTTGGGTGGCACTCTAGACATATCACAGCAAGATTCATCTTAAATAGCCTGGAAGCCAGAAGCGAGACCCCCACCTTCGTGGGGTAGAGGACAGCCTGCTAGGGGCGCTCTGGTCACAGGAATGGAAGGGCTCTGGGGCTCCTGCCCTGCTCAGAAGGCAAGCACAGGATCCCCAAGACCCTCAGGCTCCACAGAGCTCCCTTTGCTGGGCATGCTGGAACCACCAGCTCCGCAGCAACACCAGGCAGCCCCCCAGTTAGAAAGATTTAGCCCTTGGCTATTTTATTTCCTCAATAGTGGAACAGAAAGGAGGTAGGGCCCCAGCTCAGCATGTGGGGCAGCTGCCTTCCCCTGCGCCCATCACCACCTTCTCTCCTGCCTCCACTGGGAGCCCACAAGTCAACGGAACTCCTGGCCTCTGGGATGTCCCCTTATGTGCCACCTGACTCGCAGGAAGAAACACACACTCGGTCAAAGCAGAGTCAGAACCACCAGGCCTGCCACAGCTCCCTGGGTCCTGGCCAGCCTCAGTGGGTCTTCCCCCGGCCCTCGGAGATGACTTCCTCCGGCTGGGCGCGCATGTACCACTCCACCCAGGAGCCGTCGTAGATGGCCACGTTGGGCTTGCCGCAGAGGTAGGCCCCCAGTGCCACATGGCAGGCTGTGACACCAGAGCCACATGTGGCCACCAGCGGCTGGGACAAGTCCACCTTCTTGTCCTGGAACAGACGGTGGATCTCCTCAGGGCTCTTCTCCAGGCCCTCCTTGGTCAGGAAGTCCGTGAAGGGGATGTTCACCGTGCCGGGGATGTGGCCGGGTTCGATGCCTGCAGCAGGAGGGCAGGAAGGAGGGGACAAGTACAAGGGTGTATGAGATACGGCCACTGCAGTGTGAGAGCCTCCCAGGCAGCCACGGCGCTGAACCCTCTCTACATGCACCATCCCACTCAGTCCTCACCGCCAGGCAAGCCAGGTGCCACTTACATGCATCCCTATTTTACAGGGCATGCTGAGGTTCGGGACTGCACAAGGCCACGCATCTAGCAAATTGCTGGCTGGGATTGGGGCCTACGACTCGGACCCCACCAGAGTCGCACTCTGCCCCCGGCTTCCTTCCCAATCACCCATGTGCTCGGGGGGCAACAAAGATAAACAAGCCCTCTGCCTGGCTAGGACTCCTTGCACTTGCAATAAAGGAACTGATCGGGCAGAGTGGACAGTCATCACTGAGCCATTACAAGGATGAGGGGTGTTACAAAGGCCCTACGGAATGTCATGGGACACATTATATAAAGATATTAACAGTAATAATAATCCTTGACATTACTGAGCACTTACTTTGTGCCTGGCACCATTCTGAACCCCTCCGCTGTACCTTCCCCTTTAATCCTCCCCAAACTCTACGGGACAGAAATGATCATCCTCCCCTTTACACAGATGAGGAGACTGAGGCACGCAAACTCAGTTGCGCAAGCCAGAGAGGCCCCAGAGCTGATGCTGTTCACCGCCAGGCCATGGGGGGCAGGGAAGCTTCTCTGAGAAGGCGCTGTGGGTGAGTCACGTAGAGAGGTCTGGGCAGCGGGGACCGAGAGCACCCCAGACTAGGGAAAGGGTGGGTAATCGGAGGAGGCAGGAAATCACACGGTCTTTAGAGGGGTTAAAGGTCACTGGGCAAACGTGCAGACATGGGGGAGCTTGAAACCGCCTGGATTAAGACGTAGGGCTTTGACCTGACTACAAGGGGAAACCAGACTTCCATTTTCAAAGATCATTTCGATCACAGCACGAAGAACCTGGGCAAGGCTAGAGAGCCATTCATTAAGAGGATCATGCCCCCCAAACTTAATCATTTTGCTTTCACCATCCCCTATGAGGCAGGTGTCGCTAATATTCCCACTTTCATGCCAAGGACTGAGATTTGCAACAGAATCAACCCTCACAGCCTATGATTCAAAAATCTTGGCCATTCAGACCCTAGGGTGGGGCTCTAGACTAGTGGCTTCTGCCTCAGTTTCCCCCTGCAGTGGAGTGACACTCCTCCAGGGAGCTGTTGACCCATATCGGTAATTATTGCCAGGATTTAGCATATAGACAGCGCTCCAAGTCCATGGGGAGGTGGGAGTGCATCCTGCATCCCCATGTAGGTGCAGAAATGGCTCACTGGGAGACATCACATGGAGACCAACCCAGAGCAAGGAAGAAGCAAGCCCTCCTCACAGGTTGGCCCCTGTCAAAGCAGGGCTGTCCCTGTGCCTTGAACCCCCACCAAGCAAAGCATGCTTCCCCCTACCCTGCCTGACCGATGTGACCCCTCACTGAGGGGCGCGCTTGTCCAGGTCTCAGCCCGTGCAGTGGGGACAATGACAATGAGGTGATGTCCGCCACTGACCTCGAGGCAGCCTTTGCATGTGCTGGCTCAGTCCGCCTCCACAACAAGCCTGCTAGTGTGTCCTATCATCGCCCACTTTATGGGTGAGCAAGCAGGGCTGAGGTAGCATTAAGCACCTCTGTGAAGAGCTGTAACCACAGAAGCACACATTAATTCTATCACCTCCCATTTCTTAGTGCACTTTATGTGTGCAAACACTGAGCTGAGCGTTTCATCCATTCATTCTCATTTGACGTTTGACCCTCACTGCGTCCCGTAGGCTCTGTTTCTGCTCTTATTTCACACGATGCAGAAGCTGCAGTTCAGAGATTAGGTTAGGTGACCTGCCAAGTGGCTCTCTGCCCCATGTTGCTCTCCCTCCCTCCCCCAAGGGCTGAGCTGAACGACCTCACGGGTTCAAGGTGGCATCCTTATCAGGTTGAACCACATAAAATTGCCACCTATGTAGGTTCAAAAAAATAGCTGGCTATCAGCGGTTTCCTATGGTTTGACCTAATGGCAACACTGCTCTGCACGGTTCCATGTGGCAGGGTCCTTCTCAATTCCCCAAATCTCTCTGGGACATTGACTCCATGCCAGCTATCGGGTGAGTCTTCAGGATGCACTAGACGCATGGCTGGTCCTTGCCGTCGGGCCATCCGAAACAATGATAGGACTGGGTAGCCCAAACTGCTCTGTAAGCCCACAACAGAAGCCCCACCTCTGATTCGGGGGCATGGGGGATGCAATTCAGGGACAGACTCCTAGAGGAAGTGGCAAGTACCTTGCATCCTCCCCAAAGAAGGCATGAAGTGAAAAGCCTGGGTAATTACTGGTTGCTCACTGCAGTTAAATGGACTGCGTCAGTTCCCTGCTGGGCTGCCTCCTGACCTCGAGCAAGGTAGCCATCCTGAGACCTCATTTCCTCCTCTGTCCAGTGACAGCACCGACCTTTCTGGATCATTGAGAGGCTCACACCAACGTGGCCACTGACCAACCTGTTTGTGGGGACCCCTGCCCACCTGATCCAGGGCTTTCCTGCAGTCTCTTTGCCTGGAGGAACCCAGCTCATAGGCAGAGGCTCTGCCCCCACTCAAGCCCCAACCACCTCTATTCAGTTTCTCTCCAACCTGGGGCAGCAA